CCCCGCCTAGGTGCTGAGCCGGCTGGCGTCCCGGGGCCGTGCTCCAGGGTTAGAGGACAGTGGCTGTCCTGTCCCTCTGGGGCATCTCACTTGAACCTGTTACTGTGCTGAAGGAGTGCAAGCAGGGCTCTTCCACGAAGCCCCCCAGTGCGCGCTCTCACCGGGGCCGGCGCTGACGGCTCCTTCCAGGCGTGAGCCTGTCCCGCTGTCCCCCTGTCTCCCTGGCCTGCAGAGCGCGCGTCTGTGGACGAGGGGCTGCTGCACTTCTGTGCCGGCAGACTGAAGCTCCTGCGCTTGTACGAGTCCGTCGGCCAGCTCAACTCCCTCGGCCTGCGCTCCGCCGAGCCGTTCTCCGACGAAGTGAGTGGTCCACTCCGCGCAGAAGCGCCATCCTCGGCTATTTCTGATTTTTAGTAAACAAGTAGAAAGCTAAGGTTTTTTAAAGGTGAAAGGTGCATGTTCTTTTTTTTCCTTTTAGTACATGTTTGCAATTCACGGTGATTCCGTTCGCTGTGGGGATGGATACCGAACACATTACAGTTCCTTCCTTTTCCCACCTTCTCCTCTCCCCTTTTTTTTCCAGCACCAGGTTCATTCATTCGTCTTACAGAACCTAGTAGAGTTAATTACCGTATATACCATTGAAAACCAGACGGGCCAAAGAACGCAGGACCGTTATACCAACTCAGATGCACTTTTACATACGCGGTCCCCACTGGCTCACAGTACCTTTTTTTTTTCACTTTTTTCCTATTGTCTTTTACTTTGTACTTTATATATATTTCAAGTGTTTCATGACAGAAGCCATGCAATATTTCAGCTTGTGTGTGTGAGCTAATTCGCTTACATCAAGGTCTCAGTGTGCATCCGTTTTCCCACAGATGACTCGTTCACCCTTTTCCTGGCAGAGTAGCGCTGTGTGACACAGAAGCAGTGCATTACTTGTATGCATTCATCGGTGTTGGCTGTCCCGTGATTTAGTCATCACAAATTGTGCCGCTGTATACGTGGCCGTGAAGTACCTCACTGTGGTGTGATGTCTTTGACTCCCTTGGGAAGATACCTAGCAAGGGAATAGCTGGCCCAATGGGATTTCTTCTTTCAGCTTTTAGAGGACCGGACGCTGATTGCCATAGCGGTTGCATCACCTACACACCCACCGACGGTGGGGGGCTGCTTCCTCCACACAGCCCTGCCAGTATTTGGTATCGGTTGATTTCGATGGCAGCCATTCTTTCTGGAGCGAGATGCAGTCTCACTGTTGTTTTAATTTGCATTTCTCAAACAGCCCACAGTGTTGAACTTTTTCACGTATTTATTGGCTGTGTTTCTTCGTCTGAGAACTGTCTGTTCATTTCATATGCCTTTTTTTAATACAGCCTTTAAATTTGGGGGCTCTAGTTCTTTTGAGCTCTTGCTATATTCTGCGTCAGTGATGGTGAGCCTTTTAGGGCTCTTAGTGATGACAAACAGCCCTCCGAGGAGAAGCTGGCAAGATTTCTTCCCAGTGTCCAGGCTGTCTCTTCACTCTGTTGATGGTTTCCTTGGCTGTGCAGAGCTTTTTAATTTGATGTGATCCCATTTGTGGGTTCATTCAGAAAGTCCATGCTGCACTCCCGTCTTTGGGGCTGTGGGCGGTGTGCTCACCCTGTACCTGCTCTGCTCTCAGGAGATGCGCCTGCACACGTGTGTGCTGGGCAGGCTGTCACGACGCCTCTGTGACTCACCTCTGTACCCGAGAGCCACTGGGGACCTGTGTGTGGACTCAGTGAAATTGTTTTTTCCAAGTTTGTTTTATGATATTTGTTCTACTTAATATTTTAGCACTTAATTTTAAATAGTTTTAGCCCAATGACAAAAGTTACCATGGCTTCCTTTATTATTTTTTGATTACACAGTAATACATTTTTATTAAATTCCTGACAGAAGGATACGGGGTACTTTCAAGAAACTTTCTAAAATGTTTCTCTTGGTAGTATATAGTTTTTCAAGATTAGTTTATTCAGATAACCAACTACTTATAAAAATGTAATTTGAGAGTCAAGTTTTAAGTAGAGGACAGTCTAGCAGACGTGTCAACTTTAAAAGTCATCTGTGTACAGCCTTGAACTCCAGCCCAGATGATGGGGCTGACTGGGTAGAGTCATAGCCGGGGGCCTGGTCTGTTCAGAACTCTGCTCTTTCTGTTCTTAAGGCCTTGGCTGTGTTATTAAGGCTTGATGAAAAGGAGCTGCGTAAGCTGCAGGCCTTATTGGAGAAGTACAAGCGAGAGAACTCCCGGCCTGCGGTGCGGTTCTCTGAGGACAGTGAGGGTGCGCTGCCCGTGAAGACGTTCCTGGAGTATCTGGAGTGTGAGAAGGATACGCTCAGCATCAAGAGGATAAGCGAAGAGGAGTATGTGGCTCTAGGTGGGTGAGGTCCTCAGCGGCTCCTCACGTCCTCTCCGCTAAAAGCAGAGATGTCATTTTGTTTGTGGCTAAATTAACCAGAGTTGGGATGTGTGTATTTTGGCGGCCACAGACACTACGTTGTCTGCGTGGTACCGTACTGCTGAGTGCACTGAAGGGGCAGGTGAAGACACGTCATGATTCGCTCTCTGCTTCAATGATAAATCAAAGCATTAATTTGTCGTGGGCTGTTTTGCACCACTAGAATTTTAGATTGCAGTTAGAGCACTAGTCCGAAGGTGCCTGGTTAGTGATGAAGGCCTCATTTCTGTTCTACTAGGCAGTTTCTTCTTCTGGAAATGTCTGCTCGGCGAAAGCTCCACCGAGGACGTGTGCCACACTCTGGAGGCTGCCGGCCTTAGCCCTCAGCTGCTGCTGGTAAGGCTCTGGGGCCGGTGCGGTTCTTCCTTGCGCCTGGTGTGAACGGTGTCACAGAGCACACGTGGGACAAGGGAGATTGGCATTCGCCACACTGTTTATTTTTGTTCACATAAACGATAGCGCGGATATTATGTGGGTGACGTAAAATCAATTTGGAATGTAACACAAATGCATTTTCAGTGGACTTTGATCACCAGTGAAAGTTGTCACAATAGAACAACAGCCAAAAAAAAAAAAAAACTGAAGAGAACAAAACACTTTCGTTAGAGCTATTTAGAATTGTGATCTGCATTTCTAAACTTTAAACATCGGCTGGGACACAGTCGTCACACTGTAGCACATGTAAAGCCACAGAATTGCCCAGTGCCAACACTGCAGTACTAAATTCTTGCCCTTTTGAACAGGGCGGGCTGAGTTGCTAGGGTCAGGAGCCGGCAGCATCTGGGCTCTCCTCTCGCCTCAGCTCTGGCCAGGATCCGAGCAGCCTGTGATCCGGGGGCTGTGGGAATGCGTGGTTTTTGCTGAGTGTTCACGTCCTCCCGAAATGGGTTCTGTCCCAGCTCTCCGAGAAGTAAACTTACGTGTCAGGAAGGAAAACAGTTACAGATGCCTGTCAGACGGCATGGGCGGTACGAGGCCAGTGTCCTTCAGAGATGACGGACCGTGGTGCCCCCTGCCGGGGTTCAGGGTGAAAACAGTGAACCGCTGAGGGACACAGCAACTGGAAGAAGGAGAAAAAGGCCGACCTTAAAAAGACGCGCACTGCACAGCTCTTGGGAGACGCGGGTGAGCGCCGTGGCGTGCACGCTGCTGCAGGCTGGCGCGGGAAAGCAGGGGCTTGTGGGAGGGGCCTTGCTGACGGTGTGGCCTCTTGTCATGACGACACACACTGCCCCTGTCCAGTGGCCCAGGCGCACACACGCGCACATGTATTGCTGGTGAGGCCCTGTGGATTCCAGTGTCCGTGTCTTGCTTTGATCCTGGGCGCCATGTTAAAGGGAGGGGCATGGGACTTCATTGCCTGTCGCCATCAGTGAATCTCTCAGGACGAAAAGTTACAGAGGCCGAGCAGAAGCACCCGGGCAGGCTGAGCGCACCGCACCCCGAGGCCCCTTGTGTTCGGGCGGTGCAGGCTGAAGGGCGCTGTCTGCGTTCCAGTCTCTCCTTTCGGAAACACAGAAGTGGGAATTTCATTGAGCGGGAAGCCCGTGGAGAAGTGTGGTCCTCCTTCCCATGGCGCCGAGCCCCAAGTGTCCCCGTGCACGCCTGTTCTTCGTGGGCGGCCCTTTAACTTGGCACACTTACCGGACGCGGTCGGTTGGTCTGACGGCTTCTTGCCGAGTGCTGTTCCAGACAAATGCGCTGCGGTGCCACAGGCTGCACTGTCTGCACCAGCACACTTGACGTCAAAGTCTTCACTCCCCAGGGTTATCTGAGCAGATTTTATAAATCGGAAAAACGCAAGCTGAGGAAGTACTGGTCCACAGGCACCTTAAGTCACTTGCGTTGACCCGGGCGTTGTTAGGCTTTTCCTAGCTCGTTAGCCGTTTACAGTGGAGTCGCACAGCCTCACACGCTGTTCCCACTGCCAAGGGCAAGGCACCTCTGTGTGTGGCACTGAATGCTGCTTCCTCGTTTCAGTCTCTGCTCCTGGGCGTGTGGCTCTCAAAGGAGAAGGAGATCTTGGAGAAGCCGCGGTCCGTCTGCGGCCTGCACACCATGCTGTCCCTCCTGAGCAGGATGAAAGGTGGGCTTCGGGCCAGGCAGAGCGCTGTGGCGGCCCGGATTTGAGTGTGTCCGAAGTAGGCCGTCACTCCCCAAAACGTAACTAGGGTTGTGCCGTCACAAATCAGTGTGAATGACGTGTTTTCTGCACTTGGTGAGGGGCGTCAGGGCTTTTGTCGGAGGGAATACTTTGCTTCCTTTTGACATCACCTGACAATCAGATGTATGAAAACATCCATCTAAGAGTAGTTCTCGTGAACGGTGAAGTCATTCCAAAGAGGGATGAAGTTAGCAGTTCAGAAACAAGATGACCAGCATTACCAAGAAGTGGGATGTAAATACATATCCCGCACAGCATCGATCGTGAGATCTGTTCTGCGGTTCATTCAGAAGTGTACAGGCACATCTTCAGGAAGCTTAACTTAAAACTGAAAGAGTAGACAGAACGACCGGTCAGGTCCCCATCGTTCACGTGTCCCCGTCCCGCAGTGGCCATCGACGAGGCCTGGGACTCGCAGTCCGTGTCCCCGTGGTGGCAGCAGATGCGCCTGGCCTGCGTTCAGTCTGAGAACAATGGCGCGGCGCTGCTGTCCGCACACGTGGGCCACTCGGTCGCGGTGCAGATGTCAAACCACATGACGGAGCGAAAGGTGAGCGGCCGGGGTGCACGTGGGCCGTGTACTCGCGGGTCCCCCGGGCGGACGGTGCCCTCAGACCCCAGCCGGCTC